TACCTCTGGTTGTAGCCTACCCACGGTTTTTCCTCTGGTTGTACCCACGCCTTAACCTCTGGCTGTACCCACGCCTTAACCTCTGGTTGTACTCACGCCGTAACCTCTGGTTGTACCCACGGTTTGGTCTCGATATTGTGGAATTGTGTGGTGGGGGGAAGTCTCATTAACTTCCTTACTGATGAGTGAGGGACTGATTGGGGAGACTGGTAACATAATACTTTTCAATCTTTTCGTCCGTTCAAATCTCATTGAAAATCACAGGAGTGCATCAGGGTTAATTAAGATGCATGAAATTTGGCTTACATCGACAGTTCTTGAAATAAGATGTGTTTAATTTTCAGTTTTTAGTAAGGTTTGATAAAAAAATTGATAAATATAATTGTCCCTCTATACTTGTGGGACCAAAGCTCTTACTGAATTGTTAGGTTTCTGCTTGAGTTAAGCCGTAAGAGATTTGCTGAAGCAGCTCAGCAGATTACTATTTTAGCAGTATACCTTAATTATAGTGCCGAAGCCGCTGGGCACGAGGGAATCTAGCGAATTGCGGAGCGAAGAGAGTTCCATGTCCTAAAGAGCTGAAGGTCGGCCTGTCTCTCTCTTGCTGTAGCTGCTGCTCGAAAAGAGTCCAAGTTTAGGTTAGCACATTGCTCCTGGAGTGACGACACGGAGAGACCTCCTCCCCGAAACATCAGCCTCGTGCCGATACCACACAGTGGAGCGCTCCGAAGTCAGGTTCACGCGATCTTCAAAGCTAAGGACTTTTCGATATCTGGACCCTACGCCGTGTAAACGTGGCAAAGCTATCTCCTCAGCATTTCGTATGAATTAATATAATTATTATTATTATTTTGACTATTCGCCTCTAGGCGAGACTTTCCCCCGGATTCGAATGTTGGGAAACACACGCAGAACGTCCAGTGATCATTGACAAAAGTTGTAAATGCATCAGATAACTGATCGCTTTCGCGTACTATGAAGTCGATCTCCTGAATCTTCTTTCTTATTTTTTCGTTTTTACCTGATGGTAGACCCATTTTGCGATAACTTCTAAATTGTGGCATTTATTTATTAATTGACAATACTTATGTGTATTTACATTTATTTATATGTATTGATAGAAGTTCCACTAATCCGGACTAAGATTATTTTGCACCCAATGACCTTTATAAAATTATAAAAAGGGGAGGAGAATTTGACATGGCTGGACCTAACCTCGGTAGAAAGGTGTCTAGCAACGTAAAGAAGGGTTTTGTACACACCTAGCCCTAACTCTAACCCTAACCAAACATGGTTGGCGTTTTTTCGAATGTCTGGTAATGTAGTTCATTTATTTTTGCCTCCAGTTTTTTTAGTTCAAACTAGTTACAGAGTGCACAACCGGACGCAATTTTATCCAGATTTTTAACCCCTGTCCGTTAATGTTACAAATCCTGTCCGGTTATTGACCGATCGTCGAAAAATATTTATATATACATAATATATTTATATTTAGGAAAAATTACCTGCTTCGAAAATTAATTCGAAATAAAATTCTTTCTGACATTTTCTTCTGCTTGAAGCACAGTATTTTGCGATAAATAATTATGTAAAAGTAAGATTTGCCTGTATGTAAAAGTAAACTATTAGCATGGTATCAATCGAGACTTCTATGAACGTGTAGAGTTTTGATTATGAATTTGATATCTGATCGTGTTGACCAATTGATATCTGATCGTGTTGACCAATTGATATCTGATCGTGTTGACCAATTGATATCTGATCGTGTTGACCATCTGGTGCTGCTGCCTGGTGCTGCTTCTGTCTGGTGCTGCTGCCTGGTGCTGCTGCCTTAAATTTTGCATACATCAACTCTAGAACCGTGGTATTTTATACTACCTTTCATAAGATGACATTTTGTCTGCTACTAATGCAAAAATTGGTTAGTTACTGTATTTATTATCGTAATCTATTATATTATTTATTTTCCTAGTTTGACTGTCAATAAACTTTTCAGTCCCTATTGTTTGGAAATCTCTGAGTTTTTATTAGCCTCAGGCGTACATCATGAATGAATTTCAATCCTTATGTCGGGACATTTCCTGCGTACGGAGTTGAATACAAGCGAAGAAACATCCCAATAAATGCCACAAATTGACTGATTTTCGAGACCTTGTAAACAGTTGGCAGCAATACACAGTTAGATATTAGGAGACATCTTTCAAGACGTTACAATTAATTCCATTTAATAACCTTGCCTAAAATCTCTCGCGTTTAACCAAAAATATTCATGAAATAAAAACTTGACTTGCACAACATATAAATGAAAAATTTTGTTCAGAGCTACATTTTTCATAAATATTGAAGTGCACGGAGAAGATCTTTGAAGCCCTCGCTCGGCCCCTGCGGCCTCCGAGGTCAGCCCGAACTCAAATTAAAGGAATTTTCTTCTCATTAAGAGAAATTAACCAGCGTCGTGAGGTCACCGGAAACGTGGCGCGATTCTGCGCAGCAATTCACCATCTTTTGCTACCTCCCCTGGGCATCATGGGGGCAGCAGCAGGGCATCATGGGGCAGCAGCAGGGCATCATGGGGCAGCAGCAGCAGCAGGGCATCATGGGGCAGCAGCAGGGCATCATGGGGTGGTGGGTAGCACCTAGAGTGGAACGTATAGGCAGAGGACCAGTGGGGCAGTAGGAGGGGGTGTCGTGCCCCCGTAGCGGATCAATAGAGCCAGATACCACGGGCTGGGGAGCTGCTGCGTGTTGTGCAGCGTTTGAGCAACACGCGGGAGGCGTTACGTGTTTATTTTTGCAACGTGTGAGCAACATTCACAAGGCGTGTAGCATGCGGAACGCGTTTCAGAAGATGGTTGCAGAGTCCGGCCTTGCCAGTCAGTAATGAACATGGTATTTCTAAGGGGTTCAAATACTGCAGTCTAGGATTCCATTCACTGATGACGTAACCAGACGAATATCTCTTTGCTAGAAATCATTTCTCTTCTTCTTCTATATCCCGTGGCGCTGGTATCCTGAATTTGATGTGACCTGCTGATGAATTTATAAGCTTGGCTTCGTAAAAAAAACATCTAAGCCGATTGTAATTCAAGCTGCCTTATCCGTTTCCCGATTTAAATACCCTGACCTTGATAAGGGTACACTTACTGTACAGTCTGTACTTAAGAAGTACTGGAATTTACTGGGAAATAAAGTTTAACTTTTCAGCTGCGGGGCTTCGACGTGAACATTCTTGTCCAAATAACATAACGGAAGATATATGAACGCTGTCTATTTCTACCGCTACAACCTCCCTATTGATGGGTTAGTGGTTTACTGTAACCGCTCCATGTGCAGCCCCTTACGTCGCACTGTAACCGCTCCATGTGCAGCCTCTTACGGCGCACTGTAACCGCTCCATGTGCAGCCCTTTACGGCGCACTGTAACCGCTTCATATGCAGCCCCTTACGGCGCACTGTAACCGCTCCATATGCAGCCCCTTACGGCGCACTGTAACCGCTCCATGCGCAGCCCATTACGGCTTAACGTGAATGAGGCCCAAACAACGAATTTAGTCCGTTTGTTTACACAGCGATTAATCTTTTAATTCCAAATGCTCAGCGCTGCAGGAGAAAAACACCCAAATTTTGGCAGGAAGTTTGAGTGCTGGGACTCATGGTCTCGGTTGTGCTGAAGCTATGGCTTTATATGTGCTGCTCGAGTACTCTGAAAATCAGTCTCACTCTGAACGCAAATACAGATCATTTACGGCACAAATGTCAGCGATTGTGCCCGATTGATTGACAATTCAGAGATCCTTCTCCGTGCAATTTAGGATTTATGAAAAATGTAGCTATGAACAAAATTTTTTATTTATTCGATGTGCGAGACAAGTTTTTATTTTATGAAAACATCGCTATATCTTTGGTTTAACGCGTGAGATTTTAGACAAGGTTATTATATGGAATTAACTGTAACTTCTTGGAATATATATCTCCTCATATTTAACTGTGTATTGCTGCCAACTGTTTGTATGGCCTCTGAAATCAGTCAAATTGTATCATTTAAGGGGAAGTTTGATCGCTTGTAGGTACTCAACTTCTTTATTACGATTTCCTTCAATCTCGTTTAAAAATTATTCAATGCGAGAACCGTTACACATTATAAGTTTGTTCAATGATTTGCATCGATCTAGCAAATCGGACCAAAAATTGAAGTTATGAATATTTTTGTCTATTTGGGTACCTCTTCCAGTATAGTTTAACGTAAAAGTTTGGACATGACGTAACGTGTCAATAATACCACTCGGAACGTCATCAAAGCGCCGGCTATTCCCTTGAATGTTCATGGAAAGCGTGCAGAATTGAACATTCTCGAGGTATTCTAGCAGTTGATTCTACAGTACCTCAGCTCTATTTTGCGGAAATCTATACTTTACTATAAATTTTGTGTGGTGTTGCATGCCCCATGCTCTTCTGCAGCGTTCAGGTCACGAACTGAAGCCAAGAATTAGATTTCCTTGGCCAAGTCAAAAGAGAAGAAGGCAGAAATTTGGTCACTGTGCGCCAATCAACCAAACGTATGAAAAAGCCGCAAGAATTCCCATTATTTATATTCCTGACTATCCAGGTAGCCTCAGTAGTCTTGTTAGGACCACAGAAGAAGTTTTTTTAATTGAAACCCAGTTTCAAAATTGATGCTTGTATTTTAGTTTCTCTGTGAGAACAGAATTTGATGAATTCTGGAGCGTACGACAACACGAGTGAGGGCTGGCAGCGCCTGGCCCCCCCAGACGTTGGGTGCTTCATTGGGAGTTGAACCTGGGTCACGTGAACATCTCTGTCGTGTGTGTTGTTTGATTGGAAATTTATATACATTGTTTTACTTTACAAACTTTGCTTTGATGTCAATGTGATACTCATTTAACTGCAAAAATTAATTTGTCATGAATAAATATGTAGGAAGATATCTTTGAGCGCAGAGTAATATTGCGTGTCTCTTGTCTTTTTGCAGTGGTAACGTTTAATAAGAAACACCGTCGTCAAGGAACTAGTTAGCTTCTCGAGAACCACAAGATTTCAAACAAAGATTTTATAAGATTTTTGTGTCATTTGATGTGATATGGTGTGTTTTTTTTCTATTTAACCCTTGCCTGAAGCCTGCAAAAATTCCACTTTTATTGACTAGTTCTAAAGAGTAACTTTTTGGCGCTTGGAAGTGAGGAGGCTCCGTTTTGTTGGCCTAGCTTTCGTTGCAATGCTGAAAGCTGCTGCTGCTGCCGTTGCCGTGTGAGCAGACTCGCTGTAATGTCCCTCTAGCACGCTACATCCTCCACCTCCTAGTGCTGCTCCACCTTAAATGAGATCACGAGAACTTGCTGACCTTCGCCCAAGTGCTCCGATTCCACCACACATTTGCCTTATTTGAATCTTCATCGGGCATTGGTGAGTTACATTTTCATCCTCTGGGCACTACTTTGAATGTGTAGGTAATTCAATGTGGAGACCATTACGATTTGCTTAGATGCATTTTATAGTTCAGTCAGTATTTCCTTTTGCTTTATGTGTAATACGTCTCATTTTTTATGGACAAGAACGAAAACTCAACTTCCGAATGGAATGTCCCAAGGAGTTTGATTGCCAATTTAGTCGGTGAGAACTCAAATTTCTATTGATTCTCTTGCTTCTACCTTTATTATTTGTTCCAACTGTGTCATAGGAATGTTTGGGCTTGATCCGCTTTAAGCTGATTGACGTTAAACCCTAAACACTGTTAAGTTTTATCAACGTTTGACTGGTATTAATATGCAAATACCATCATATTTTCTGCGCCTAGCGGCTTGCGTGCTCGGTATATATGGTTTGATTAAGACGAAAAATAGCTCACCGGTCGCTTATTTCAATAGTGTCAGGCAGACCTATAATAAATTGAATATATCGTCTCAGTTAAAACCATGAGCAACTCGTGAAGTTCTTATTTGGCCTAAATATTCAGCTTCAAACAACGTAAATTGACATATAGGACAGACATACTCCAATTTATTATATCGCCGACCAGTACCCATATGAAGCGAAGTTAGTATTGCGACCTGAGATAACAGCACCTTGCAGCAAATGACATGACGGACGATTACGTGTCTAAGTGAACCGTTGTGTCCTGCACTGTTTTACTAAAGAAAAACAAGTGATTCTATTATTCTACTACCCAAATTCGAAAAATTTGCTCTGACAATTAGGAGATTAATTTAATTTAGTGCTTAAACTTTAAAATACAGGCCGAGTGCAATTTTTATTGAAATGGAACAACTGTTCTCATTGAAGTTTACTGTAAACAATCAGAGCGGGGTCCTGATGTGTCCTCGCCGAAATGCACTACAAATTAAATTGTCTACTACTACATGCAAGCCAGGAAAGACAGTTCCGTCTTTGGGAAGTCGGAGCTATCTCAACCGCACTTTAAATTATTCTATGCAAACCCGAAATTGAATGATATGTCGATTTTTGTGTACTTGTTGCCAAGTCATGTTCCCCGAGCCTTGAAGTGAATCCTCAAAAATAGAACAGCGAATGAAGTTTATAAAACACTTTGGCTTTGCTCCGCTCCCATCAGTCTGTTCTACTAACTTCTTTAAAATTTTTCCATTTTATATTCCTTTCATATAATTCTGAAAACGACAGAATTTCAACGCAAAATAATGAATCGTGTCAATCGAAATGTCAATTAACTTCTTAGTCCTATTGTTCGTTTTAACTTGTGGAATGCGTTCATGTCGGCTTTTTTATGCCATGCAAATTCTGAACCCGGGGGATCACATAACTGTTTGTACTGGCAGTGATCAAATTTCAGCCCCAGCAAAAAGCTTGTAATAAAAGCACTCTGTAAACACGTGCAGCGCTGAACATGAATGACCGGTCTATCAATGTATGGAAGTGCTTATTGATTATCTTATGGCAATTATCGATACATTTAAGATCGATGCCTTATCTTGACACTTAACATATTCAGCACTCGCGCATTTTTTTCGCACGTATTTTTTATTCACCCACATTCAGAACCGGAAGAAAACACATTAGCTTCCAGCTACTAGATAACAATGAAACCTGCCTATGTTAAGATAGCCCAATTACAGTCATTCGAATGAAAAGTTTACCGCCTCAGACAAAGATTCGAACGTATCTTACACTGTAATTCTGATGTCATGTGTAACCGTATTCTGAGACTTTCATTCGAGTTAAAGTCCATGAAGCTGCGGTCGAATAAGCTTGAACTTTCTATCGGTATTGAGCGTGTGTTTCAACAGAGGGAGTCTGTGTCTCTCTGCCCTGGGAATAATGGCATGTCGTAGCAACGCTTCGGCATGTGGCGTACGATACGTACGTGCTCTCGCTGCGCAGCCCTAGAGTGAAATGTCAAATGAACTGCAGCAACAATCTCCCATCTGTAGAGTTCATCCCAAAGCTTGGAACCGCTCTCTCTTGAAGTGCTTGTAAATGATGGCATGACCGCCGTGTAGTAGAGCTATGGTCTCGCCAGTAGTGTTTATGAGTAACTTTCGTTTTTCGCTTCTGAGACCCCGGGAAAAAAATCACCAACTAAACATCTCCAACGACAGCCGGAGAATGCCGACATCAGTTTTACCAGTAAAACGACAGCTCATCGCTTAATACTGAGAATAACGAATCCAACTTTTAGAGCATGTGCATCGATGTGTACAGAGTTGTACCAATGAATTGATGTACAAATGAATTGAATCCTCGCGTATAACAGAATCGTTTATTATTTGATCATGCCATTTTTTTTCTTCCTCAAAATTGTCCTCTTCGGGGGCCGAGAGCATTTATTCTATAATGTGCCAGCAACGGGAAAATCGTAACTCGGTCAAAGCTTCATTAAAAATAATTGTCCGCTTGAACGGTGCAGATGCAAATTCGAATGTTGTCATTGCGTTTTATCATTCGTTTCATGCGTTAAATCATTACATATTTTCAACCTAGATTATTAAATTGTTTTGTAAAAAATTAGGACTCTGATTTCCGATCGACAGCTAAATACAATATCTAATTTATATTTTAGAAACTGTTGTGTGTAGGCCTATAATTATTGGGATTTGAAAGTATATTCTCAGTTGTGAGTCATTGCACTATTTTAATTTAATAAAAATTGATAAATTAGGACTGTGTTAAGGTTTATAGATGTCCAGAGGTGTGAAATATGCGCCATTGTTTAACATCATGTTTGAATTGAACTGATAATAAATGTGTTAATATTCATGTTTTTGTAAAAGGGTATTCTCCATCAATTGATGCCTCTCCAGCTTGTAATTTTGCGTCTACGAAGACGTTGTGATAGAATAGTCAAAATAATACGAAGTGACATCCATTGGATTATTTGTATTTATTGACGATTCGAGAGTACTTTTTAATGATTTTAAAGTTTTTTTTTGTTTTAAATCCATGTTTCATTCAGTCTGGCAATTGGAAAGCCTACACTATATCCGGATAACAAGTAAATTTTACGTAATTTTCTGCACTGGCATCGGGCGTAAGTTAGTGAAATATTAGGAGCCTTTACCGTAGGTTTGGTATCACATTTCATATGACTTGTAATACGAGACCTCTTATTGGGATTATAAGTTAAGCGCATTAAATTCTAGCAAAAATTATTAATTAAATTCTAATACATAAAGTCTTTGGTATAATAGAGCATTGATGGAGAGTGTTGCTCAATTTACGCAAGGATCTTAATTTTATCATTTTTATTTATACACTGTTCAACTTATTTATGAATTAAATGTTGTGTGGTGTTTTTTATTTTATTCATATCGACAGTTCGTATCTTCAGTAAAATTTGTGTTTGTAATGATTTTGTATTTACTGATTATTCGTTTACGTTCCTATCAACAATTAATTGTGATTTCCCACTGCATGCTGAAGAAATGAAACGTAGAAGATTATATCTTCTGCAACCTGCCACAGCTTTAACATTGCTGTGCAACAACCGTTCTACCTTCTGATAAACTTTCTAGTGACTCTGTGAGGCTATGTTGATCTATGTTTCATTGCATTGAACTTGTACCTTAACTGCCTTGAACTGAGCAAAAATCAAGGAACACGAAGCTCAGCCATTTAAAATGCATGTGAAAACGATTTTCAGAAGTCGCAAATTTCGTATCAAGAAATGATAAACCCGCGTCTTCTGCGCTTGACGGTTTCTGTTGACAGTAAAATTTCATGGGATATAAAAATTCGAGACAGAAAATCCCTGTTAGAAAACTAATTGAATGCATAATTGGATTCGTTATAGACGATCTACAGTGAACACCTAAGACATTGTTTAGAGCATGAACGTTTTGAAACCGAGTGTGTTGGGCACTTCAGTATTTGTTGTGGCTTTCGTTGCTTGGTTGCTCACAAATATCGTGTGATCATTTGCACTTTAAAGGCGTATGGCAAAGAGTAAAAAGTGTGGACATGAAGACATCACGGAATCAGTAAATCTTTACGGAATCTCGAATGACCGTACGGGGCCGTTCCTAAGTAGTGAAAAATCACCCGGCGTCTAGCTCTGCAGAAAGATTCCATGGTCTTACGCGTATATTTTGAAAGTTTTAGTAGTGTTGCTGTCGTATTTGCTGTAAGATTTAAGAGATTGGCTGGCGTATTCGCCAGATGATTTGAGAGAAATGTCGGCAAATTTTCTTGAAGACTTGAAAGTGAAGCTAATGTGTCCGCTTTAATAATTAAAAGCGATAACATACTTAGGTAATATAAAGAATAGGGTTTGTGTAAAAAAATTTGTAATTTAGAAACAGTTACTATCGAATCGTTGTAATGCTTGTAAAGGCGCAAAATATGGGACTTGTTTTATCCTAAAGTGATCGAGTTTCAGCGATGCTGCACGGCTTAGTTCTCATCCAGTCGATACTTGCCATGTTTGTACACTGCTGATGGTGACTAATAATGAACGCCTTAAGAATTTATCACCTTGATGTTATTCAGATTTTGAATTCAACTATGTAGATAACGTCGGGACCGATCAAAAAGCAATTAATTTTGATAGTATTTGAATTCATTGATGATTTAATATTCACTATTTTCAGCTCAATATTGGCATATACCTAATTTTTATTTAAGTTCTTTCATTTATATTTAATAATAACACTCTACGATTATCACTTAACTTAAAATAGATAATAACGAGCAAGTTTACAGAATTTTCTCTCACACACTATAAGTGTTAACTCTTTTTACGTATTTAGAATATTATTTGTTCAGAAAACGTCGCATGGTTCCAATTCGGAAGTGACCGAATGAATTTTTTTAGTTTAAAAATAATTATAAAATGTACTTAGCGAGACCCCAAATCAAAGAGCAATAATTTGTATCCTCAATTGAAGAACGCGAGCCAATTGTCAATGAACTCAATAAATTAAACGCATCATATTACGTTTATATTCCTACAAACCATCATCTTTCAATAAAAGGATCTGATTGGCCGTAGAATTAGTACTGTGCAACTGTATGTGCAAGACGCTGAATTACCTGTTTTTGAGTCCACCACATCCTGCATGACGACAGTCGCCGTACGGCGGGATGGGTTGTGCCTCGCTCTTTTAACGTCCAGTCGGTGCCATGACCGCTGCTGGGTTGCACTCACCATCAGCGCCGGGCATTGGGCAGCAGTTTCGCCTCGTTCAGTGTCTGCGTCCCCACTTACTTCACTGACCTCGCAAGTTTGACGTCACAGTCAGTGTCATGGCCGCTTTTTAAGGCACTGGGTCGCCATAACATAAGCTTTGGCAATGGGCAGTAGTACCGCCTCGATTTGTTCAACTGACCTCGCAAGTTCGACGTCACATGCAGTCAGTCAGGGTGGCGGTGCTGCGTCGCTGTCACCAGCCGCGGTCGTAGCATCGAGCCATCGAGCAGCGTACTATACCTCCTCCAGTTTTTGCATTTACTTATGTACTTTCGTTCAACTGGCGCATCGATTCATCAATAATTCATTGATCGCACGAATAACATTATACTGGATCAAGCCTCAAATTCATGATGGTTATTTTCCATGTTGCTGCATCCAGAACAAAGGGTAAATTTTACGAACTTTTAAATGTAAATGATTCAGCCGATTTCAAGTTTCAATTTTGTGACTGCAATATGGGCCCTATCCGAAAGTTACAATAGTCAGAATTAATATCTGATGACTGGTTCAGCGGGATTTTACATGTAGAAATAAAAAGTATAAAATAACTGAATGCATCTTAACTGATTATTATTCAGAGATCATGGATGTAATCTTTGACGGTTTCACGACTCCCATTCCTACAACAGTAGAACTCCGCCTGACGACCAAATCGCCTTGCGAACAGTCAGATCGGAAAAAAATTTCTCAGCTGTACGACCGTGCTTCGCTTTACAGCTTACGACGCTATATGGTGCACGGCACTGTAAAAAGCCGTGGATCTGCAGAAAAGTGTTGATATCTCTTGCTGTTTAATTGGCATCGTCAAGAAGCATGCAACCGGCATGCGATTCGCAGGTTTGGTCAAGGAGGACGACCGAAATAAAAGTATGATCATTATGTTGGCTGTGGAAAATGCCTCATTAAGCATTTCGAAATAAGTATAATAATTTTCTAGCCTATTTTAAATAATTAATACGCGAAATTGGAATGACTTTTGGAGGAGGCCCATTACGATCGTAGTGTTTTACATCAATTTAGATGGGAAAATAGGTTTGTTTTACAAACGAAAGGCAGTACGAAAAGAGTTCCTGCAGGAAGTAAATTCGTATGGCAGAGTTCAAATGTACTGCTGAAATGTTTCGCAATTCTCTACATAATTTGGATGCAACTTTATTTATAAAATTGCATAATACTTTAGATACTTTCGTTAAATAATAAATGTCACCCACCTCACATGGCAATCAAGGTTTAACCCTATCTTACTTTTCGAGTGCAATAATCCAGAATTATACATGCGTGGTGTGCCGACTATCGCTAACGTAATCCGACTATCACTAACGTAATTGTTTCTTCTCTTGCAGATTATTCCCATGGACGAGCATTTGCAGGAGACACACAAAATCCTTCCATGAGGTTTAAGGAAGCTTGCTCCACGAGGGACCTTCTTATAGTTTGCACGTCAAGAGCTTTGCGGGCTCTTTAGCTATAGTGCTTGTACAACAAAGTTTTATTTCTTTACGAAGTTTCAGTTTTTGTGATATTAGGCTATATTTCTTATAGTTACGTTAAACTCGCCTAAACCAGTTAGTCACAATACTTTTTCAAGTCTAAAATATCATTGAAACTAAAAATCACATAGTTGTGTTTAAGAATTGAAAAACACCACTCCATCAACTTTCGACTTTTGGTCCTCTAACGGCCATAAGGAAACGCAAGTATACCCGATGCGAGAATCTATTGAAACTACACATACCCTTCAAAAGTATTCTTCTGAGAGCTGTAAAACGAAGAAGAAAGCTCTGTAAAAGCATTTAAAGTCGAATAATAATTTTGTGATAGTAGAATTCCCCGAGTTCTGTTTTCGTGTCATCTGTTCTTCTCTTACGTGACTTTCAGCGTTTGAGTTTGTCGTATTCGAGCTCAAGTAGAATCTGTTTACAGTACACTGCGACAATACATAGTTTGCGAGTGACTCAGCTTCATGCCTCATCCAGTCCCAAGTGCTTAGCTGTAACTTTGATGTGTCTATCTTGTTATGTGCCCCGTACCAACCTCAGTGAATGGTCGAGTTTTGTGTCGAACTGTCGGAGAAGTTCCTGCTCAGTCTAGCTGTCTCTTGCCTCATTTGACCAATACCAACAATATGTTGTTAAAGAACAAGTCGTGCTTAATATGAGATGACGTCTGCAGTTAAAAGGTAGAATAGAGGTAAGAGAAAATATTTGTTCGTTCTATCGCTCATCGAATTGGCTCAATCCTGGAACAGCTGCATAAGATTAGCAGCCTAGTAGCTTAGTTCACTGTTACCCGAACCATTTGTGTGAAAACTTTGTGCCAGACTATAATTTACTACGGGAAGATCTCATTCATTAATCAGAATTAACAGGACCAATAATTTTGTGAAGACAACGACTCATCATTGTTAAGGATTCGTATCTTTAGTACTAGAATTGTGTGAGTAGGAAATATCATCTTTATTTAGTCATATGACCTCAAGCCTCAAGTTAAAGTTACCATAATCTCGGGAGAACAGACGGATTCAGAAAAAAGACGGATCATCTTCAGTAAATACTTGGCGGCTGTACGCTCGTGACGTCACCGTGTCTAGCCGCAAGTAGAATAGATACAGAGGATCACAGTCGCGCACTTCCTAAGGACTGTCATCGTTTTTTGGACCAACAAGGTAGCATCTGGTGTAACCGGCCCCTCTCGGTTGGGTGCGGTGCATCGCTATGTGGTGATATTGTATAGAAGATGAGTGAAGAGTCGGAATCAGTGAACGAGGAGGAGCGCAGTCTATTTAGGCCGTTCACGAGAGAAAGTCTAGCGGCTCTCGAAGCGAGAATCGCCGAGGAGCATGCCAAGCAGAAGGAGCTACAAAAGAAGAAAGAGGAAGCGGAGGTGAGAAACTTTTTCTGATAGATGTGCTCTCATTTTATAGAATCCAAGCATTTGTTAAGTAATGATTGTTCGATGTGTGCATCGTCTCTATGTTTGTATCTATTTCCACTTCCTAACAATTATGAAATTAGTGGTCGGGGCATGCTGTAATCGACGTTTCCTTTTAGAAATGTTACTACATGAAACTTACGTGTGGTCCTTTTGAGTACCTACTCCTTTTGGATTTTACGTCTTTGTGGTGTGATATTAATAGCCTCTCTATTCCAGTGACCTTCCCCAGTTCTGGTATGTGATTAATTCATTTGGCCATTAATTCATCATGCAAATGGAGCCTGCTCTGAAATAACCACTTTTCAAATGGCAACAATGCATAGTGTGTGATTAACTTGTTTCTCGCTTCATGTAAAATTGGCTGCAGATATTGTTTGAAATATTGCATATTTTACATTTGATCTGTTTTATATTCTTTTCAATCATTTTTTATGACTGGTTTTCAAACTGTGTGCCACCTTCTCGATCTCTACTTTACATATAAACTCGTATTATTTGGCTCATTAATTCTATATTGATCGTTAGCTTGTACAATTTGTGTGTGGTTCAATAATGACCAGATTCAATGCAGATAATCTGACTTCTCTAACTTGACATCCTTCTTCCCACTTCTGTCAGGGAGGAGGTATCAAATTTGGCCGTAAAAAGAAAGAAGTAAGAAAATGTGCTTGCCTCTATACTCATTATCTCAATAGAACTATTGGTTTGTTTCTCTTAAAAGCTCTGATGAGGTTGATGATGAGTTTTGTTACTATAACGCCTCTAGACACGGGTTTGTCGTGTTTATACAATAGAATAGAAACTGAGATGCTGCTCATAGATTTCAAAGCAATACAATGACTGGACCACAGTTTCGCTTGTAGTTTCGGCCCCAGGCATCCCGAATTGAGTTTGCCATGCGTTGCTAGCGACATCGTGCATTCAAAAACTGTTGCTATACCCTCGTACGAGCAAGCAACAACTTTCGACAATGCATATTTTATATTAAAGTCTGGCAACTCAATGGACGAGTGTGCTGGTTGAACTCCAAGTGATCCTGTATTTTCCTTCGTGTAGTATCACGCACGAACACGCTAAGTCTACACCATCATTTAGTCACTCGAATTGTTGCACTCACAATTTAACATAATTCGGTCTCTCGATGTTCAAACTTCAGCACGCTTCACAGTTGTAAATTTCTTGACGGAAGCACCCAGTCGGGCCAAAACGGGGAAAATAATTTTCATAATTTTAACCCTGGCCATACAAACTGCTACAATGACAAACGACATTAATTTGCTAAAAAATAAAAATTAGCGTTGGGATAATTTTCTTTCACTTAATTATTGATTATTATAATCGAAAACGTTACAAGTACGTCGGTAAGTTTCGGCATTTCAAGAATTATTTTCATGGAAAACTTTTTAGAAAGTCAGCGTTTACGATGCAGTGCATCATATAGACAGTGCACAGCACAGCATGACTACACTTTAACACCTCTTGAGAAGACGCGAGCACGTCATCCGCACCGTAAGTTCCGGATTTTAGCGACACGTGCATGCTCTATTTATGATACAAGTGCAGCTGTTACATATCCATAGGAATCAGTACTCGAAACACAGCGTTTTACTAGCATCTCAGTACTACACTAAGCCTTAGTTGGTGTGTGACAACCTATTGCGACTTGTACCTCCTTGGTGTACCTGAGAAGCACATAATTAAGAAACAAGATTGTTTACTCGTCTGGAATTCTATATGTGTCGGGAAAATATTAGCGGCAATATACTTCATATCTGCATGAAGTGCATCCATGAGCCACATCTTATAGAGATTAGAGATTTTCAAAAATTTGTGTTCGTTAGTTCTTGGTTCATTGATGAATTGAAACTGTTCTATGTGTAAGCTCTTCATTTCTCCTGTCATTTAACCGAGAATTTGCCCTTCATTACTATACATTATCTCCTTTCATCTCCTTATCTATATTCTATGCCCCTGTTTGCCTATTATGTCTGCTGTCCTGGCAGATTACATAGAGATGCAAGTTCAATTGAGACTGTTTTCTAGGAGCTGGAAACCAGAGACTAGGATGCATGGTGCAGAGTATTCCAGAACTGCCCTTGCGCTTACCTTCAGAACTATTTACACAGCCACGAATATCCGTTCCTTCATTCCTTACTTTATATTCCGCAATACACATTGCAGGGACAGGTTGCAGCAGTGGCGATCGGAATACATAATTTTAAACTGTATTCATTAATTGGGTCCTCTTGCTACCCAGGAGCTGTCGACTTGTCATTTTCATTTCAAGTTTGCTGTAGGTATCTTGGAGACATGATGTACAGCAGTACGTTGTAACTCTTCAACGTTACTCACCTTGATTTTAGTCGCACTAATTATATTAGTTTTGAAAAATCTTTCTTAATTGTTCACTATGGCACAAGATCTAATCTATTAAAAATATCACCAGAAGAATTTTGGTATCAGTCAAATCATGCACGAGTTTTATCTCTTTCCGAGAAGGCATAATTTGGCCAATGAGTTGGCCAACCTATTTGAACATTGTTCGTTCCTCTAATTAAAAAATCAATTGTTTAGACATTTTTTTTCTACTGCACATTCATAAGGTGCGCTCTACTAATTAATAAATTGACGTGAATTTTATGTGGACAGTCTTACCTAGCATGCGTACAAGTCGCCACTACTTCCTATAACGCAACATGCATTCGCGTCAGACCATATAATAGTGAACCGTATAATTTTATGGCACGTATTTGGAAAATTGCCCAGTTGTCAAAAATTACCATAAAACGTGACGTAATGGTGAATATTAGCATGCAATTAACTTTAAGATTGGGACGCTGCTTGCTGTTCAGAGTCTCACGTAGCTTGTTTATGTCAAAACTTCATTCGTGTATCTTCCTTGGAATAGGTATTTTACTAGCTAATAATGAAGAAGTGTATTTTATAATTATTGACTTCACGATATCTTCAGTATGTTTGCAACATTGTTTTGTTATTTGTTAACGACCGCCAATGGTATGACCAATTAATTAACTCTTTATGGTTTATTATGCTGAATTTATATATCATGAATAGGTATATCTGAGACAATGCTTGCAAGTATGTGAATCTTGAGCTCCTATTTCGTATAAGATCATTTATGATTGTGAAGTGTGCAAAAATCTTTCAATTTCCACGGCGTTCAATTTGTATGTTATCTTTATAATTAAAAACTCTCTTAGCAGGTCTTCGGCAATTGGATAACATTTCAATCTCACTAACTTTTGATGACTCCAGATTTGCAGCTTCGACTCTTTTTGTTGCTTACGTGTGTCCTCTGGGTGGATTCTAGTGAGCGCTACACTCATGTTCCCACGGTGCGCTACAGTCATATTCCCACGGTGCGCTACACTCATATTCCCACGGTGCGCTACACTCATATTCCCACGGTGCGCTACACTCATATTCCCACGGTGCGCTACACTCATATTCCCACCAAAGTCTCCCTGAAATAAAAAAAAAGCTTGCTTCATGATCGGATTTTTTTTTTCATTTTATGGACCTCACACTTCTCCTATTATTATTTTTTCTTTGCCAGAAATTTACTTATTTTGTAACATTCTCGTAAACATTTCGTGGGTTTAAATATATTTAACATTCCATTTTACATGCATCTGATCACTTATCACACTGATTATATAATTATTTGAATTTAACATGGTTGCTTGTTTTCATGACTCTGCTGAAACTTCTCCAGCTGGTTTACTTTAAAATCCGTCAGCCATAGATGTTTGAATTTCAGTCGAAATTATCTTCAAGAATACTTAGGGTTGCAAAAATCTTATCTAAAATAAGTCACTTTTTCCTGAGTTAGGCAACTTCATTAATCTGTGTTATAAATTGTTTAAAATTTGCTTGCATTGGATTCACATTTCGAATGCCTTGTACTCAGACCCATTAAGAATGTCATTAAGTTGAACTCACTTGCCAATGGCAAGTGACATCCGAATATTCGTTGCTTACATTCTAGGTTGTGTAAAAAGATTCATGTCGGTCCTTTTTTCATTTTCAGCGGTGAAGAAGTCATCACTTCCTAGCTTATCAGTCATAAACTTTCTGTTCATTATGTACGATTCCACCTCCTTTTCTGAGCCTGATAGCTGCCTAATATGTTGACCGTTGGTTTAGTTGATGATATGATTTCGTATTTATTGATGTTGAATGTACCATTTATTTATGCCACAGTAGTTGATGCTCATCGTTGGTACTAACGCGAATATTGTTGACTTGTATTGTATGTTCGCTTTTCCCTACTCATTTCCTTTTTGCATGGAGTTGGTATTGAACTTGTTTCACGATGCGTTTAGATTATTTTAATATTTTAATCTCTTCGATTTAGAATATTTTACACGTGAGATCCCGCCCCTCACACATTCAACATGTATCTCTATATACGCCTCATTTCAAGACCGTTACTCACGGCTCTATATGTTTGTTATAACTGCGTGTGTTATAAATATAATTATTCCTATGGCACTATCATACACGTTGTTCGAGCTGGTGTTTAAGGCCTTGCTTAGTTTCTTTTTCATCCTTAAGAATGCTAGCACCAGCAGAAAATTTGCCTCTCAACGAAAGTAATTTAGAAATGAACGAATATTTTTTGCCCTGGAGTTCAAGAATTCCTAGTTACTAGTTAGAATTTTTTACCGCAAATGTGAAGCAAGTTCGAGCAACGTCCACAGAAAAGAAGTCGTTACCAAGCCTATTATTTACAAGGTTTTGATTTATTTTGGTTCCTCATACTTTTTAATTGAAAAACAGAAAGGCAAAAAGGGAAGGGGAACGAGCGCCGGGAGCGGGGGTGGTGGTGGTGGCCATCAACCATCCGAAGGGGATGAGGTACCGACTCTCTGAAACACTCGTCTGTCATCCCACTCATAATTATTATCCTTATATAATAATTATTATCCTTATATCCCACCAGTTATGTAGTGAACACCGATGCGACCGACTCATACAACCTGCCTTGACCACCTCATGCAGTCCGTTGAACAGCGTTCAGAGCCGCTCTTCAAAATGCCCTCCTACGAATAATTCAAAGATTTTAAACTGGCATTTTAAATCATTAATGTCGGTACTTTGCGCTGATCACAAGTGTTTTAAATTAAAGATTACCTGATAAATTTTAACATTGGTGTTGAAAAATGATTCTGCAATTCGTCGAATCCGTCTAATAAGTTACGGACAAATATTCCCAAGTTTTCAACAACATACAAAATAATAATGAGTATAATTTTAATAAATTCTTCATTGCATTCAATTTTTTCAATTCTGCATTAAATCACCAATCACATAGTAACAGTTCATCGTTATTTGTGGTTAAATTCTAATTATGTCTTATGTATTTCAGTGAGTATTGCGAAGTTCAATTTAAACTGAATGAGGTGGTCGCAGTAATAGATAGATCGTCTACTGCCTAGTAAGGAACACTCCTGTTTTACCAGGACCTGCATTCTACTGAAGAACTACTTTATAGTCACACACCCAAGGTCTACTCATAGACCCTATATACTTCCTCTAGTTCACCGCATGCGAGCTGGAACGCTGTTGTTAAGACCTCTTGCTCGCCGCTCTTTCGTATAGCCATAGAGCACATTTCCAGTCATGGATGCTAGTACATTATTTAGCATTGACTATCCACATCCATGTTTTAAACGTCTCTTCAGGCGAGAACAGCACGAGTCAAAAGATTCAACCGACACAATGGGCTTTCCATGTGTCAATGAGGCCGAATATCGTTAATCAAACAATATAGAACAGAATTAAGTTTCTAAATGGAGAAAAATTCAGCATCATCTTCATACCATTTTTTATTTTAAGTTTATTATGATATTCGGTGTCCTGACCATTCACTAACTTCATACCTAATTTGCATTGGACTGCAACATAACCAGTTCACCTGCCTTAACACCTCGTCCTCAAAAGCTTGTCCTGGACATTAGTTTCTGGAACTCGAGTGTCAGTGAGTCGAATGACCTCAAGCCTTCAAAAATACGGTACTATGTATGGCCACACCAGGAATATTTGGATTTATCTTTTGTTATTTAAAATTTATGTTCTAGATAGTAACGCATTGTGTTATTTGCATTTACAACGTCACAAGAAAGTAAACCATTAAGACTTATTCAGGATCATTTGTGGCCGTAAAATCTGGAATATAATATATTTTTAATGCTTCCTGATAAAATTCACAGGCCCAAATAATTTGGGTAATTGCATTACATAGTCGGAGTCTGGTAATATGAGAAACTGCTCCCACAATCGCCTAAAAGCGTTCAAGCAGTCACAATATTTGTTATTTTCACATTTATGCATCAGACTTTCGGTAAATATTCCATTTCAAATGATACTATAATAATATTTTGTTGATAGATCTCATTACTATTACTGCTAACTTTTCATTGTAGCACTATATTCTTAGCATTTTTTTCTCATGGACAAATGATCCAAGTGTTTCGGAAGTTCTTAAATTTTATATTAAACATTCACTGAGCTCTGATTTGAAACTTTTTCGACCATCCCATGATGTGTTGCTGGCCGAGGCAGTTGAGAAACATGAGAATATCTCAGCGCATAATCACAGAAAGGTTATGCTGCCGTCCACTGCACTGCTTCAGAGTTCACGGGGCTACATTAGCCTGCACAATACCTGTTATAACTCTTCTTAGATCACGACGTTATTGTGATGTAATTTATTAATATATCACGGCATAGTTGTGCACCATCATCAGAAATCTGGCTTAATCTACAGCATATGCCCTGGCTTGCGTGAATTTATTTAAATCGTGTTCGAATGCAAACGAACAAAGGAATTATTTTGGTGCAAACTTGTACGCACTTGGTATTGTAGTTGTTACGGTAATAAGTTATTTGTCATGTATCGCTAGGACCTTGTCCTGGAGACTTGATAACGATACTTAATGCGTGGTTTTGCCCATTGCTGTAAATTGTCGCGATGGCAAACTTTTTATCAAGCCTCTTTTTTACTCATTAAAGAAGTTGTACTTGAGAAATCGTGGTCTGTGACTCGTGTAATTACTTATCTCCAAACTATTATTTTTAAGTCTTGAAAACGTCCTGACATTAGCTTCAGCCCCAGAGCCATTGTTTTTATTAAATAAACAGAAATTTTGGGATACTCCTTATGAATTGTTATCTATAATACTTGCTAAATGATGGATATTTTATGTTAAGCATTTTTATTTTCTCTACTGAGCTGACCGTTTTGTTGTATCTTTCTCGATGCCTTTTGATTTTAATAATAGATAATATCGGCAGGAATTTGTATCGACGCAAACATTTCGCGCTGTCACATTTTGATTGGATTAGACCAATTATTATGCCGTTATTTCAGAACGCTCTTTTACTAAGAGTGTTTTAGTTACGGAAATCAATGCAGCTGAAAGCTAGCTCCGCGAATCCTGCTCGCTCGAGGCGACTGTGGCTGCTGATGGCAGCACGGTGGGTGAGTGTGGCTGCTGATGGCAGCACGGTGGGTGAGTGTGGCCGCTGATGGCAGCACGGTGGGTGAGTGTGGCTGCTGATGGCAGCACGGTGGGTGAGTGTGGCCGCTGATGGCAGCACGGTGGGTGAGTGTGGCCGCTGATGGCAGCACGGTGGGTGAGTGTGGCTGCTGATGGCAGCACGGTGGGTGAGTGTGGCCGCTGATGGCAGCACGGTGGGTGAGTGTGGCCGCTGATGGCAGCACGGCGGGTGAGTGTGGCTGCTGATGGCAGCACGGCGGGTGAGTGTGGCTGCTGATGGCAGCACGGCGGGTGAGTGTGGCTGCTGATGGCAGCACGGTGGGTGAGTGTGGCTGCTGATGGCAGCACGGCGGGTGAGTGTGGCTGCTGATGGCAGCGTGGTGGGTGAGTGTGGCTGCTGATGGCAGCGTGGTGTTCACAGCTGCAGTTTGCTGTGCTGCATCCAGCGCTTGTGTCGCTTTAAAGTCGACCGCCGCTGCGGGGCGGAGGCCTGCAGTCTAATTGAGTGCGTCGAATGCCTTCAGGCGACGCTCGGCGTAACTGGCAGGACAATTTGTCGTGGAAAATATTTCATGGTGTCAACTAAACAATAACTGCCGGTGTCTAAGCCTCAATGGAGCAGAAATCATTAAAACGTGTTGAATAATTTTTTACTACGAGATCAGATAAAAGTTCCGTGTTTGACCAAGACTGATTGTTATTTTAGCAGTACTAATTGCTAAATATTGCATTTTACTATTGCACTAAATAGTCGCGAATCCCTCCAAAACTTTACAGCTTACCTCATTTTCTGGTACGTTTTATTGAATCCTCTTTTAAGTTTAATTCGTCATAATGTAATGATGCGATGTAGCGCGTTCTTCGTCATGATGTAATGAAGCGATGTAGCGCGTTCTTCGTCATGATGTAATGATGCGATGTTGCCCGTGCTTCGTCATGATGTAATGATGCGATGTAGCGTGTGCTTCGTCATGATGTAATGAAGCGATAGCGAGCTCTCTATTACAGCTAGCCAGTGTGTCGCTCCCGCCAAACAAAGCCTAATGAGCAAGTGTTTACTCTCATCACCTTTGTTAACGCTGCTCGCTGACGGCTCCTCGCTTATCAACTCAACTCATCGTACATAATCAAATATTCAGCACTGGCTTGAACTTCTTCTTAGTTATAGAGCAATAAACTTGTAACCCGTGGACGTTCTTGCATAGCTACCTGAACTCGAAATCAATCCAGTAAATGGCTCCGTAGCACGGCTATAATTTCGTTGGTACAACAATGCGGTTTAGCCTGGCACAAGCGTGATTTTTTTAATGTTCTGATCTCTTGCACTTCATTGATCCTCCATTTGATCCTCCTTCATTGGAGGATTGATCTTCCATATAATGAAACTTCATTGATCCTCCATATAATGAAGTTTCTTGCAGAAGCCTATAAACTGTTAGTGCTAGGCCAGAGCTGAAGTGTACGAGTAACACATGTCGATGCCAGAAAAAGGGCAAAAGTTTTTGGTAGATTCTCATTTAAAAAAAATCCGTACGTGCTGAATGTCATAGTTAATTGCTAATATATTGGTGTAATAATGATAAGATTGATAATAATATGTTAGTTATGTGCCGTTATTATCTACAAGGCTTTCGAAGAATTGATGTAACCTGAAACTATCAGGTCTACACTGATTAAAATATTCGATAACGTTTGGCCATCTTCCCCCTAAATTTGTAAGAGATGAGAGAACATAAACTTCTGTTGTTCACTTAACTTGTTTATTTTCTCAAAGCATCACTGATAGATATTTTCGATGATCGATTTGGCGTATGAATCGGCAACAAACGTACAGTGACGGCTGATAAAGATGTCAGAGATGACTAAAGAAAACTAAGTAGTTTTGTACTACTACAGGTACTTTAACTTCTACAATAATTCTCTAATCCATGTACAACACAGATGTAGACCTGATGTTTCGTATATGTAGCGAGTGTGTGAAGGCAGATGCATGGCATGAATAAAGGAATTAAATTCTTATATTCTATTTCTCTTCTTTCCCAGAAGTGATTTCGTGACGATCACGTATTTTTGACACGTTTGCCGATGTTTGTGGCGAACAATAACATTGAAATTGTATTAGTTTCATATTTAAATCAGAACCAAAGCAATTAATGCAAGTCATTAAGCTCAACATGATGCTCATCACTTCTTCGGTATAACACACGTCATGCTGACTATAAAATGTAGCAGAATAATTAGTTTGCGCAGGAGACTAGCATTATATGACATGGTAAAGCTAATGATAACTACATAATAATGATAACGAGACCTTGGCACCTCAGCACAAACTGATCATATTGCATTACAACGATGGCTGAGTGTAGCACAGCTTCTGATGTACTCCAAACAGTGCTACTGCAGTGCACTTGATTGCACTGCACCAGACAGTGCAGGTGCAGTGCACCAGGCAGTGCAGGTGCAGTGCACCAGGCAGTGCAGGCTCACTGCACCAGGCAGTGCAGGTGCAGTGCACCAGACAGTGCTGGTGCTCGGCACCAGACAGTGCAGGTGCAGTGCACCAGGCAGTGCAGGCTCACTGCACCAGGCAGTGCAGGCTCACTGCACCAGGCAGTGCAGGTGCAGTGCACCAGACAGTGCAGGTGCTCGGCACCAGACAGTGCAGGTGCTCGGCACCAGACAGTGCAGGTTCAGTGCACCAGTCAGTGCAGGTGCAGTGCACCAGTCAGTGCAGGTGCAGTGCACCAGTCAGTGCAGGTGCAGTGCAGCAGTCAGTGCAGGTGCAGATATGCTGCAGTGTACAGCAGCTCGACTGCAGTATGCCCCCTTGCCCCCTCTGCCCCATGGTGTGAGGGGTAGGAGGGCAGCTGGCAGTGGCTGGGTGAGGTCCTGAATCAATAGACGGTCAGCCAGCCAGGTCAGCCACATGGCTGCTGCAGCCACCGTCTCCAGCCACTTGATCGCCCATTCAAGCCGGCTTCTTACTCGTTAGGTTCAGCCACACTAGCCTTCTGTTCGTCACCCGTACTCTGCTTCAGTGCCTTATTATGCCACAGTCTCAAATTCATTATTAAGTTCGCCGCGGTCATATTTTTTGCCTTTGTAATCATTTATTTCCTCATCCTCGTTCTGTTTTTGCATCGAATAATGGTGATGGGTTTAGAAATTAGGTCAAGTATAGCCTGTCGACGATTCTAGGCATCGCAGAACCCTTAGCTGAGGCTCGAACCCGCAAATAATTGTTCCAATCTCGCTGCACTTCACCACCTGGCCACCTCGCCTATTTTGATCAGAACATGCACAGCTAGCTGAGGTTCGAACTAGCAAGTTGAGTATCAACTCCCTGCCCCGATCTTGGGGAATCAATCCATTCGATCACCCCACCGAATTGTTTAATTGCGATAGCCTTGTGATTTATTCATTTCTACGCTTTGGCTTTGAAATTGTCGCATATGCGTTTAAAAAAAAAAAATTCTTCGGAAGCTAAACGGTGCTTAATTGGGAGTTCAGCCGTACACCACCAATTTTGTCCCTTATATTTGGCTCCTGATTGGGCTTGTATAAGTAGGCGTGAACTGCTAATTTATGTTCCGGCGGATATCATATAATGTGGAATAACTGTGAACACGTAGCTACGATGTTGGCTAATTCCGGCTGCTTCCTGAGCCTCATTCGATAGGTTTCTTAGGCAATTAGGAAATACACACTGTGTCGATTCAAAATTATTGTCGCGGTCGAAGAAGCCAATATCGGTGGTATTAATGTGTATTGGAAATCGAGAACTGATGATGGATCCGTCGAGTTCTGGGGTTACTGACGCAGGCAGCTTACAGGTCTACCTTATCATGTGCTAGGACGGAGAAGTTAGTGCTGCGTTGTGCGATTAGGTTTACATCACCTGGTGTCAGGACGCAGAAGTCAATGCAGCATGCTTCGATTAGGTCTACCGTCTACCTAATCATTGCTATGACCTGAACGCTTGTGCTACGTGGTGCGATTAAGTCTACCTAATCTTGTGACAGGACGCAAACGCTTGTGCTGGGGTGTGAGATTAGGTCTACCTAACCTTGTGCTAGGACGTAAACGCTTGTACTGCTTGGTGCCAGCCCAGCCTGACGAAGAAACGTGTTTACGACTGTTGCGGTGTTGTCGGGCACAGTGGTCCCCGGAGCATGAGTCCAATATTCGTATTGTCCCACACTCTTCGCTTCCGAGTGATCTGTTGCGCCGAAGTTGCGGTCATACTCGAAAGACCGAGTTTGACCTCTGGGACTGAAGCGGCTGTGAAATCGAGGAAGGATAGTCCTACGTAGATTGATGTTTAAACAAAGTTTTTGGACACTTATATTTGTGTATTGCAAAAAGCGTTTGGTGTCTTCCACTAATTTACATTTAATTTTTCGTTTAGCATGATTACTTTTTGGTGGAATCTTGTAACTTCGTGCACTGTTATTGAATTTCGCTACTTAGAATTTAATTTTAGTGTAGCTTCTATACTATTGTGGACTTTTGGCCCGGATAAATAACCTATGTGTTCCTCTATAGTCTGTCATGGCTTGGTGAGTATAAACCCGTGGTGTAATTACACCTCTAAACTTTTCAATAGGAATTTCATGGCTTTACGCATAATTGCATTAGGTATACGCGGAGTGCTGCCATCATGAAGTTTGCTAACGCTCTTCTTGCCGCTCTCCAGATCAATTACAATGACGATGACGACGAGGATGGGCCTCAGGCTGATCCTAACCTCGAGCAAGGAATGCCTTTACCGAATCGCTTGGCAAACCAATTCCCGAGCGAAATGGTGGGAGTCCCGTTGGAGGATATCGATCCCTTCTACTACAACAAAAGGGTGAGTTGAACTATTTCGTCTCTTGTATCTTGTTTCTGCTTTAGATTTAAGTAACCTTGATTATGTTGATCAGCTTTTCGCTAGCAATATCTCCTATGAGACAAGAAGCGCAAGTCTCTGACTGTGTCATTTCAAATTATTTTACTCTATCTGATGTTTTTGATGATCCTTGGTGAGGGTTTCTTGTTCACGATCGGCTTTTCAATTGAGAATTTTACGGACGAAAGGACCGACGGTTTCGGAATAATCGCTGAATTCTTGGACTCTAATCAATAAGGAGCAGGAGGTTGAGGAGCCGTGCAGTTGTGCTGTGCCCTGTGTTTTAAGAACAAGATTATGACGATGCAGATTAAGATTAAGAAGACAATGGATCTTTCTCGCCTGTTTCATATTATCTGTGCGTAAATTTATGCTTATGATAATTTTACGAGAAATTATCTTCGCTTGAACAAACTTGTGTTGTTTCAAATTGAACCAATTCTGGAATGATTTTATCGTAGTTTTTATTTCGTATACGTTCTCCAAAGTCAAAGTTGAATTGTATTTCATAGTCCCGAATAGGCTCCATAAGATAAATGAAAACTGTCTATCCAAAGTTAAAATGGATAATAGATTCAAATGTTTTTATTTATAAACAATTTTCAACGAAACTTTCAAGAAAAGACTCAATTTTGTTGTAATGTGAACTAAATCCTCAAACTAATATGAATAGTTATAAAATCAAAGTACCGTTTTCGTATATATTTAATTATAGATTCATTCAAAATATTCAGTTTAAAGTCACAATCGAGAGCTTATTTTATTGTTTAAGAACAGGTTCTTAACTCCTTGTAATTGTTCACTACTGGCCTGCTGTTGTTATATGCATGCGCCCACTGTTCAGATTCTTCCGATATTCTTAAATAATAATTGGCATTCAACGCGCGTTATATTGGATGTCTCTTCATAATTTGTTACTAACTCGTAGCGGTTACTTTCTAGTTCCTTTCGTAACTCAATATAGTGAATTACATTACAGGGCAGAAATTCATTTATTTTTACACCGATTCTCACAGTTTTCATTGATAGTCAATGTAAGTGTGTGGCGCTAAATCTTGAAGTCAAATAAGACTTGCTGCGTTGATATTATTATGAAGTCAAGAATGTCGCTAAGTTGTGCGCGTAACGATTCTTTTTCCTTAGTTTGGCTGGGCACGGATTTCATGGATGGGAAGATTTTTGCTGAAAAATAGATCTCTCTGTCGCATCAGATCTAAACCTTATTTATGTTATTTTCCTGACTCCACTCACGTGATTTCATGCTAATGGAAAACTTTTTTTCCTGGGCTAATTTATACATGGCATCATGAAATTTTTCTCGCTGGGAGCCAAGTGGGCGCCTTTGGTAGAAATAGCTTCTTCCCATTCTATCTTCTATCTATCATCAACAGCTGAATTCGGCTGCACTCCAGTTAGCATTCATTGTGTCCTCTTGCATGTGTTCGCTTCAGTCGCAGTTCTCGCTGCGAAGTTTGGCGCCTTGCCAACCGAGATCGAGCAGAAGAAGAATTTAGGTCGCTTCGTCCGAAAGCCTGAGCGCTGCGTGGTTCTTAGTCCGCCAGTCACGTGGTACCTGGACTTTACTCAATGGCTTTTCATCATTCAAGCTTACGACTGGAGTTCGGAATACTACTCAATGCTACTCTAATGTTGATTTAGGACTTTAGGTCGACCTTAGGAAATAAGTTTCAGCGCTAAGGTGTGTGCAATATTTTTTTTATTCTCATCGGCCTTTTTTGTACAGATTACAAAATAATGCAATAATTTTGTAATAATGAGCTACCTGTTTAACAATCTTTTACGTTTTGGGCATCCGCCAAAAATTTCACGACTATTTCTCCCGTATGTAAATACTATATCAATGCAATGAGCGAGTTCTAAATTCTCTCGGTGACACCTTACACTGCGGCGTAAACTTGGATTAATTTAGCATCTAAGTTTTAAAATATCTTTAAAGTATTTGAGTGAAGGCATGGTACATTGATTTTGGCTTGAAATAATGATGGCGTGACGTCACCGTATCATGGTTGAGGCTCATGAGGCCGCAACTCGGACACGGTGAGAGGCGTGGCCGGCCTCAGCCTGGCCAAGGTGGCGCACGTTCCACCCTAATTCGTTGCCACGCTATGCAGTGCAGTGATTATCCACACAATTAATGTTGTGGAAACTGTTCACTGCCAAATTTTGGAAAGATACAGATCTATGTTTTTACGTGAGTTAGGTAATTAAATATCAATTTTTAATTTATTTGGAATTGTTAGTTACCATAAATGGTTCTTAGATTTTACCGTTTGATCAATGATGTAATAAAATATGTTCCACTCAAACCACAGCAATTGTATATTTTGTTTCGCGAGTCTCCATGTTGCGTTGGCTTGTTTAGGAGCGCTACATTAGTGTTGTGATTAGCCAGCGCTCGCCCCCATGAAGATCTTTCGCCCACATGAAGAATTCAGCAAGAATGCGTCAGATATCTCGTACGTCGTCAGTGGAGGAGTTTGGCCACCACTGATTCTCTAAACGACGTATAAATGACGCGTCGGATAAGTTTAGCATCTCGCTAAGAAGCGTGTAATATTTGTGTGTAACACATAAAATGTCGAAGTCACAAGTATGACTGGCGAAAATTATTAGCATTATGTAACTTATGTAAACACTACATGGAGACTGCCGTGCAAACTCGATGTCATGTTTCCGAAAGTTGTTCAAGAAGGTGATTAAGTGAGTTGATACATTGACCTACGATTTAAGTGAGTTGATACATTGACCTACGATTCAAGTGAGTTGATACATTGACCTACGATTAGCTGAGTGATGCGATAAAGTGACGATGCAATGAGCTTAGACGGCACGTCTGCGACGTCAGTTCTTGAGGTCTGGGCGATTCAGTCCCTTGGTCGCTGTCGTGTTTGGCCGAGGCAGTTGCCATGGCCACAAAAACCTCGTCATCGCAGGCAGCGATCCACTGTCGATATGACCATGTTGCTGCTGCTCACGCTTATTGCTGCTGATAGTTCTTGCTGTTGTATCTACTGCTACTACCGGCAAGTGTTACTACTGTACATCTGCTGCTCGAGCGACGATTGTTCTTTACTGTGTGGATGTTTTTGTGTGTATACATCGCCTCATGGTGTCTCTCTACATACAAAAATTTTATTTTTAGCTCTAATTGCATTTGCCGTGCATCAGTAAGGTTGTTGATGCCATCATTGGCATTATCTTGGACGTAACCGGATAGCCGCCAACACGATCAGCGTTCCAGTGATTCTACCGTCAAATTGGTCGAGGTGATTGGGCCGATTATAAACTCACTCATTTTTTTACAATTTTCACGGCGAATTATACGTTGGCGATACAACTGGCTTTAACAGTCACTAAATTCAATGTCCATAGGTGAGCCTGAATGTATTTTATGCCGATACCATACCATTTCACACATTACTCTTAACTACGTTGATATCGTTATTCGTATCACTGAAAGCGTCTGATTTTCTTCTAATGTATTGCCTGATAGATTCTAATTCTAACTGATTTAGACTTGCCGAGCGAAAACCGTTTTTTAGTTACCTGTTACTCTGAAATTTTGTCCGAAATGCTGATTATTGCAGACGCATATCTCACTCGTACTCTGATTCCAGTAATCATTTATTTTTCAATTAATGCTGCACATTATCAATCGTTACAATATGCTCTAATGCATGTGATACATACTTAAAAAGATCAGATTAGCGTTGCTGAACATCCCATTCATTTGAATGCGTTGTACAATTGCAAATTTCATTACTGAAATAATTCGAAAGAAAGTCTAGAGGAAACAAGTGAGGGCAAATCATGCCTGGCATTGGCTGCATGGCATTTCTATTTGGTCATGATTTGTGCCCGTGGTAGTAAAGGCAAACTAGTGAGGCTCCTCGACGTGGCCTTTGGCAACGCGTGAGTCGCATGCCCGGCAGGCGGCAGGGCAGCTGTGGGCCAGCAATATTGATCTGGGCGGTGAGTGTCGCAGTGCACTAACAGCCCAGCACACCGCTCCTCGTATGATCTGGGCGGTGAGTGTCGCAGTGCACTAACAGCCCAGCACACCGCTGCTCGTATGATCTGGGCGGTGAGTGTCGCAGTGCACTAACAGCCCAGCACACCGCTGCTCGTATGATCTGGGCGGTGAGTGTCGCAGTGCACTAACAGCCCAGCACACCGCTGCTCGTATGATCTGGGCGGTGAGCAGAGGTGGGCAGTAGCGCGCTACATGTAGCGGCCGCTACTAGCGGCCGCTACATTTTCAGTAGCGGTAGCGGTAGCGGCTCTACATTTAAGGCAATGTAGCGGTAGCGGTAGCGCCCGCTACATATTTAAGTAGCGATACGAGGTTTTGCCGCTACAGCGCTACCGCTACATTTATAGATAAAGCCTTTAGA